TAAAAAGCTAAAAGAAAACTCTAAATGCTGACTTGCTACAGCAGGTTTTTTTTTCCTGTCCTGAATATGAAGGACTGAAGCTGGTACTAAATTTGATCTAGCCCAACTGCTACAAATCTCTTATTTTGCCTTGCATCTTCTGTAACACTGCCCATACTGCTGATACCAAACAGATAAGAGCTGCACCATAATCTGATCAAACTACCACACAGAGCACTAAGTACTGGAAAGGCAGACTCAGCTACCAGAGCCAGAGAAAAAAAAAACAACAGATCAGCTGAACTGGGAATTAACATCAATGTCTACAGGAAACTGGATATCTGAAGCCAAAACTCTGCTCTTTCTTAAGATGAAGGCAGGAAAACCCACCTATTAATAAGGAGCATGCCAGCACAGAAGCCTGAAAATCAATGGCAGAGTATGCTCTGCAAATGCAGTTTCAAACCCAGTGAGTTTTTAGCCCTTCCTAAGATAGCTTCTCTTCCCACAAGAGGAGTTGTCAGAAGCAGTTTCTACCAAGGTGTTTGCAATAAGGGTATATACAAACAATAGGCTCTACTCAAGCCCAGATCTCAAGATCACTCTTCCTCCATAGTTCATTTCTCAGATCTTCTGAGCATCAAAAATATTTTAATTCGACTTTATTAGCAATTACAGCTTCATGGTAAAGAGGTTTTCAGGGATGAAACTGCTAAATGTACATATTACTGATACTCACATACCCTCTGCATCCTAAAACTCACCAGCTAACAGCAGCTACCCAGAAACCTTTTGTGAGTCTCTTCTTCCCCAGATGAAGTCTTTCTGGGTTTTTTTCTCCTGTGCATTAAATACTCGAAACACACCAAATTATCATATCAACCCATGCCCATGCATTATAATTATTTCTTAACTCAGGATTTCTTCTATCAAATTTAAACCAAAATAAACATGGAATAGAGAACAAACGTGTGCTTATAGTGAACAACTATTCATCAGCTTAAGTAACTCTAATGGATGTCACTTTAAACTAAGCCTGCACCATCTGTTCTACCCCTCAATTAGCAAAGCCAAAAAAAATTATTCAATACCCAGTTTAAAAAAGCCAGCTAATTTATGCATGTAAGTTCTACTTCTCTTCAGCTCAGTCAAGCATGCTCTTGTAATGCGTGATATTCAGAAACAGTTCAGAATGCAAGGCTGCTGTCTCTAACACAGGAGTTCTGTCAGGGAAAATAAAATTTCCCTGCAATATTTCACCACACAAATTTCTCCACAATATCTCACAATGCATTTTATCTTAAAGAGTGCATCATCTAAATAACAAGATCAGCTAGGAGCTAAACAAGTCTGATCTGAAGGCCTGCACACATGACACAACCCTGCATGCACAGCTCTCTCACCCTGACAGACTGGGTCTGCCAGCACAGCATCGCTTGCTCAGCTAGGCCTTCGCAAGTGGAAGTGTCCTCAGCCACCCAGGTCTGTTAACCACGGCAATTCCTAACTCCCCTTTCATAGGCAAAGCACACTCCTGTGAGCTGCTGGCCACAGCACCTCACACAGATCAAGCTGCACTGGGGCAAAGGGATCATCCCACACAAGGGTGAGCTACTATCCTTAACAAGCACAGCCTGTGGACCGAGAACAGTGCAGCACCAAAAATAATCACTACTTGCCCAAGTGCAGGAAAGCACACCAAAAGTTTTATCCAGTTTCTTACTGCAAGTTTCACTCGGTGTCACTTCAAACTGGTCTCTCCTATCACTGTGGTATTACAAGAAAGTCTTAAGTAGTACATCTCTTCAATTTGATGGCCCCTGACCTGCTCAAAGGCACCAAATCTCTGAATTCACCCTTGGGTGTTGCAAGTCAAAAGCAAACCAGCAATACCAACAGTTATTTCCAGTGTAAACCTCAACTACAACTGCACAGGCTACACCACAGGGAAAAGAAAGGTTCAAGATAACTCATATCCCCACTGCTAGATGGGTGTAACAGTACAATACCCACTTGATGTGGAAAAGCAGACAAGAGGAGGTCACTACCAAACATCCTCAGTTCACCTCTAGGAACATCAGGCTGGTAGAAAACTACTTTGAGATGCTGGACATACTCCTTTACACCACACCTCAAAATGAAAAATTAATGAATAGCACATCATAAAAAGATGCACTGGTCACCAATGAGTCAGGAGATCCTGCATACTTAACACTACAAAATAATGGCACAAGCAGTTCAAAGTGAGACCGTTCACTAAGTACTGCTGACTATTTCGGCTCTGACCCCTTGCTATAGGATTGTCAAGCGTGAGGACATGCTGAAGCCCCTGACATTGCTGTATTGTTTTGCTTCATGTTTCAAGAGAGACAGTTCAGTGCAAGCCAAAGCTTAGCAGAAGAAATGGAGTCAAGCAGAACCACCATCCTGAAACAGCACAGACCAAACCAAGCAAATGAAGACATGGAAGAGGCAGGATTCCTCTTTGGTCTGCAGCATCCTGCAGTATCTTCCCCAGCCCAACCTTGCTAGTATACCCCACAACCCCTAGTGCCCATGCAAACACAGGCTGTATGTGCCAAGTAACTGAGCTCCAGAGAGGAGCAAGAGCTCTCAGAAAATTTATTTTTCTCTCTGCAGCATTCTTCTGTCTTCCACCCACCTATAACTACTGCTGGGAAATCACAGGCCAGACCACTGCCTGTTGGGTGCAGTTCAAGCCTGCTCCTGGCAAGCACAGATACACAGATGGTCTTGCACTGGACCTCAGTTCCCTGCTCCATACAGCAATCTTTATGCTTCCTTGACTTGAAAAACATTCTGTGCCTTCTTCACCTATGTCAGCTGCCTGTTACAAAGCAGAGATCAGTGACCAGGTCACAAGACCACTTCTTAAAGGAGTTTTGGAGTGCCTAGTGCTATGAGAAGTACATCAGGTCTCACTGTTTCACACACTACGCTTTTGCAGACTTGGACAGCAACAAGGGAAGAGAAGCACTTCTTCCCCCTCCATCACTGCTTTTCTGTTTCTTCAGTTGAAAGAGAAAATAGCGTGCATTCCCAGGGCTGAAGTCAAAGACTTCATAAAATAGTGGCAGGTTAAAATAAGAAATACTGTACAAAAAACCACCAAAGCCTAAAAATGTCAGTGATGGTCATGACTTACATAGCTCACACTTGTATGCCAGTAAGGGAGACAGCTTGAACCCTCCCTGTAAAGACAGAGTTATTTCATCATCAGTTGAGGCTCCTTTTAATAGAAACTGAACTGGATTGCCTAAAGAGATCACCGCTCCTCGGTTCTCGCTGATGCTTCCTCAGTGATAACATATAAGCATAAGTGCTTAGTTAGAAGAGCCCTAGACAGGCAGGAGCCATGAATCAACTTGATGCTGTTCCAAGATAATGGGTCTCTTATCTAAATCCAGCCTAATTCCAAGAGCATACACTTTATGACTGTAGAGTTAGGAAATTTCACATTGTGCAGATAATCTCAAGCTTTATTTTAGGCTGACACTTTCTCAAACAGAGTGAGCTGAGCGGAGAAACAGACTGCAAATATAATGGCTTTTTCAACTGTGACCAAAAAACTGTAGTTTAGCTCTCCAGATGGCTATACTAGGGCAGTGATGCTCAGCCTTTCACTCTCAAAGTCGTTATATTAATCCATGAACTGGATCAGATAACACCAGCTACCCTGTTCTCCCTCACACCACACAGAGCTGAGCTCCTGAATCCCTATCCCATAAGCAGTTAAGGAGAAAGCCAACAATAATGCAGATGCAGGCACTAACACAAAAGCAAGAGACTGGCATATGATGATGAACTAAGCCTTGGCTAGATACTGTAAGCAGACCTCACCACATCACTAACCTCCAGATAATCAGCTTGCCCTACTCAAATATTTCACATCCTCCATTACACTCATTCACTGAGAAAACACCCTCCAGACATCCAAGCTGTGTCTCCATTATGCTTACTAGAACTTATTAAACACAGCAAATGCTATCTATAGAACATTCACATTAACAAACAGCCAGCTCAGCAGCATGAGTTCTGGAACAGAATCACTGCAGTACAGAAGTACCACCAGTTTGTTACTGGAGTGAATACCACAATGAACACTAAGTGTCTAAAGACTGGGAAAGGGGGTAGGAAGAGAGACAAGTTATTCAGAAAGAAATTCTGCAACCTAAGTGTGATACTGAAATTACAAAGTACTGCATAGCTCTGCAATCCACACCATAAAATACACACAAACAACACATTTCCTAACCATTTCAAATTTACTGTGCTTGGGTTACCCTTCCACAGAGAATCATGGAAGTCTGCAAGAGTGCCAGTCAGCGAGAAAAGGAGGAATAAGAACATGGATCCCCTATTGAGACTATATTGGCTTTGGCGGTTTGCTGGGGGTTTTTTTTGTGGGTTTTTGTTGTTGTTTCTTCCCATGGCCAAACAGCTTCTACCACAGCTGCCTGTTGACAGAAATGATGAGAAAATGCAGCTGTGTAGAACACACTGACCAATACACTGCAAACTCACAACCACCTCTCAGTCAAACTTCCTGTTAAAAGCTTAAATTAATCCGAGGATGTTGAAGTCCAGAGCACTTTTAAATCCAGCAGGATTTAATGACAGTGAAAAATACTGCTGTTTATAAATGCTTTTTACAGTTTTACTGAATTCCTTAATAAGGCAGGAAATCATCAACATTGCTAACTATGGGATAATCAAAGCATGCCATCAGCTAGTAAGATACACAAAGAAACCAGAATACCAACGTTAAACCACATGTAAACCCACTTATTAAAACGCCATTTACTTAGTTCTTACTGCCTTGAGTCCTCAATATCATATTGGCTATCAACTACCAAGAAATGGCCCAAGAATGATTGAGTCAGCATAATTATTAGCTTACAGAACAGTATATTAGGAAGTCTACCATGCAACTTTCACTTAGATCAGGCAGCACTTTATACTGTTCTAACTATAACCACATTCCATTTGACAAGTCTTACCTTGTAATTGCTGGAATTGACCCAAGAAGTGGCCAGTCCATCAACCATTTTATCCAGCATAGTCTGATCATGTTCAAGATCAGCTGACTTCTGTTTATCTGAGAAGTAATCTATCAATTCCTGGCCAACCTGAAGTCTCTTTCCAACATCTTTCTGCAGCACCTGTGCTAAGCAGTACTCCATAGTGGTCTCCATGGTGTCTCACGAATACAGCACCAGCAAGAAAGCTAGAGGGCAGCAGGTTTGAAAAATCCCTCTAAGAATGTACGCAGGAGGTCGCCTCTTTGTTCGATGAAGGTTACTGAGGGTCTGGTTTTCAAAGATGCAATTCGGAGAATGGCAACAATGCACCATGTGTGTGTGAACAGCAGCTGGCAGGATATTAAAAGTCCAATTTAAATAACTAGTAATAGACGAAACAACGAGCTGTGCTGTACTGTTGAGTCTGCAATAATTCCCAATTCAGCAGTCCATTCTGAAAGAAACAGAGAAGAACAGTATTACAGGTTAAATTAAGACTGGAGCAAAAAAGGATCGAAAGCATGTCACAAAATAGGTTATTCATATACAGCTGTGAAGCTGTGACAAGATGTATACGAGCAGCATTGTTCTATTTTAAGGATTCAGACAAGGTAGGTCAGGACAAAAATCTTTGCCTATTCTTTACAACAGCAGCTACCCATCAGTTCCCTAGAAGCTTTAGTGACAGACCACAAATCTGGGGCTTAAGCAACAGCTGATTAGTAACCAATATTATTGCAACTACCACCATCACTATCTACACACAATGGTGGAGACAAAATCCTGAAGCAGGTCACCAGGAAAATGCATCTACTTTAAGCAGTGAAAGCAGGAAGAGGTCTGGATCCTGTTTTGACTGTTGGTCTTCAGCAATCAATGTCATCAGCTGGCCAGCAAGACACAGCACTAACACTAGGCTACGGGAATGTAAAATGAGCAGTTTTCAGAAACTAACAGCTCAAGTTGTTTCCAGACTGAATTGTTATATCCCAACCACACACATCCAGGAAACAGCACTGATATAGTCTACATGCAGCTCAAACAACAGTGCCCATGGTGTGCAGAGAACCTAGGCCAGGTCAAACTTTGCTGCCACTCAGAGGCACAGCATCATCTCCAAAATAACCTGTTGGCTTTCATGTAAAACAGGGAAAAAAAAAAAAAAAAAAAAAAGAAAAAACCAGCCTACAGGCTGTGTGTCTGAGGCTTTGTTACGTTCAAGCCCAGAAACAATCTTGTCCAAGGGCTTCATTAGGAACCCAGCTGCAGCTTTCTTTTTTCCTGTCCCTCCATCTGCAGCCAAACCAATCTCTCCAGGCATCAAGAGAACAGACCCCAGGCCTGCCCTTCACCCTCCCACAGACCAGGGCTCCCAGCATCACAATACTGCTTCCTGAAGCACTCCCTCATCACAGGTGAGCTCTTTTAGGAAGGGGTAATAAAAATCCAGTGTCTTTGTTTCCTGTCCAATAATGCCCAAAGCTAGAAGTCTGCCCCACTTTTTCCACCAGCACAAGGAAAGCAGGTCAAGCTCAGAGCAAGGGAAGAGGCTGTGGAGCAGACACCTGGTTCAAGAAACAACTGGAAGGAAGCTGGAGGCACAAGTTCACTAATTGGAAGGACTGGGGCAGCAAATCTAAATACTTTCTGTTTGAGCAAATAAGGCCTTCACAAAGATCTTAACGTCAATCTGATAGCAGATGAGATGCACACCAGAACCCTAAGCCTGGAAAAGAAAGCAAACCTTGCACAGCAGATTATTTCAGATCAATCTCACCTCCATCCTCCTTGGCCAGACTTCAAAATCTTACCACCACCAAGCACAGCATCTAGATGCAGCTGAAAAGCTTGTGGTCTAAAGCTTCCCTTACCCTACAAGTGCTCCCAGACATGTTCCAGCTGCTTGCACTGCTTATTCATAAGGCAGGAAGAGTCACCAAAGTGTATCCCTCTGTTCCAGACAACCAGTTCAAATCCCTGCCGGCTGACAGCAATCAAAACTGGTTCTGTACATCCAGGGACTCATCTCAGTCAACTGCCCAGCAAACCTTACCACCAGCCAGAAGGGATCGTTCGTGCCTGTAGACTTAACTCCCTCCTCAACAGTAAAACCTCACCCCCAGAGCAGCAAGAAAGCATTAGCTGCAAGCACACACACAGTACCTAGGGCTTTTTAGTGCAGTGGTAGCTTACTGCTTACGACAACTACCCCAACCTGAACTGTCTAAAGAACATACCAAACTCTCATCATTTTGATTCAAGTCACTTCAAGAGTGATCTTTAAATCTGACTTCAAATTCTAAAATTGTCAACCACACTTCACAACCACTCTCAAGCAGTTGTAAACATGCAGCAGTTCTCCTGAGCCTTGCTGTCCATACCTTTGAATATTGGCTCCTGCCCTCTGTCATACACTGGTCTTGCTCCTTGCTGCAGCCACTCATTATATAAGGCAGTATTACACACAAGAGGAGCCTTCTAAGCATCTAACAGACGAGTTCTCACACAGTAGGGTTGCATGGCACTGACTCCCTCACTAGCAGGGAGCTACTGGGGAAGGGGCAGGTAAGTGATATTTAGCAGCTCCCATGTTCTAGCTGAAACCTTTCAAGTTAGGTGCATGGTTTGCTTCCAGACTCCAGAAGCTGCACACATGTTCAAAAGTGGACCCTTCTGCTGAACTGGATAGAGCATGGTGAAGAAAGTCCCCTAATTGCTTTCAAAATGGAAATGCAGAACTTGCTTAAACTTGAAAATTCAGATTACAGGAGGGTGTTAATGACTGTTCGCTACCACAGAATTGCCTTTTTTCATTAACTTAATGCATAGACAGGTCCCAACACATCCAAGAAATCATTAACTGGCCATACTGCCATGAGAAAGGAACACTCAAAGTTTCAAATCCTTCTATGTGGTTTTCATCTAAGAGTTTAAGCCTCTGCCTACAAGCACAGAAAATCTTTTAAGCAAACTAATTTAAACAAATTTCTCCCTAAGTTACTCATTTTTAAAACACACAAAGGCACAGGATAAAAATTATGGTGCATTGTAGAAGAACAGATTCACGTCATAGTCTAAAGAAGATCCACTACACATTATGGCACCAAACACACATGGGGAGAAGAGCCAGAAATATCTTTGCATCCTGGGGAAAACAGTAATAACTAAGAGGAAAGGGTCAAGCTAGCTTGCATCTACCAGCCAACAGGTGGTTAACTTGCACATTTTTAGCAAAAAAAAAAGAAAAAAAAAAAAACCTTTTCCACACTTTAGGAAGTCTGACAACTCCCCCTCTTCCTCACAGGAGGAATCGGAAAAAACACCACCTGAGAGACCCAGGCTGACAAAAAATATGAACCTCCCAGGCAATGAAGCACATGGCTGCTACATCCCATCAAGTTTGGGATCAACTGCACAGATGCTCCCCACATCTTTCACAAGCTTTGGAAAACACAAAGCCACAGTCTCAGCCCCAGTAGTCCACTTCTGTTCCTACAGAATTTAAATGCCATAGTTTTGGAACAGCAAATGTTAAACAATACAAACAATTAAGGTTGGAGATTTTGAGTATAACCTCTTCCCACAGAAACACAGTCATGTAGAAGTCAAAACTAACAACTCAAAGGCACAGGTCCTGGTGTTTGGAGCTTCTCCAAGTTTTGATAAGGACTGCAAGGACAGGCTCCAAAACAGGGGGTTTCTCCAACCCTCCTCTTAGGCTTATGGTATGCACTCAGGGAGACAGGCAGGCTACATCTGACACAGCATCAACATGTAGACAAGACAACCCAAGAGAAAAATCTATTCTCCCCACCACCCCAACTCTGTCACTACAAAAAAAGTTCCCTTTTCCACTAATAAACCATTAAAACTAAGTGGTTAGACAAAGCCTTTTCTAGTAACACCCATGTTATCCACCAAGAGCTGTCCAGCAGAAAGCCACAGAGAGGTTTAAGTTTAATGCCAGCTTGAAGCTCAAAATGATGAATTTAAAGGAGAAAGCAGACAAAGAATGAACAGCCCAAAGTTACTCAGTCCAGATACTACCAGCATAACACTACAGAAAGCTAGTACGATTCACAGCAAAGCAACTGGCTCAGCACATAGAATAAGTCAATCTAAATAGTAATAAGGAAATACTTGTTGCCTGAGATACTGTGGCAACACTAAACTGAGTACATAAGCCAATGAATTTTTTTTTCTGTGCTTAGAACCTCAGTGACCCAAGACTAAGTCAAACTGCATTATTTGCAATTCTCAAGTAAGACTTTACCTCAGGATAACCTTATAGGAAATTTTAAATCTTCCTCCTCTTGCAGTGAGGAAGGAAACCTGAAGCATGGAAAGAATGCAATACTACTCTCCTGGGCACTTGTCTATATTTGGAAAGTCTTCCAACATAGCTATTCGACTACCAAAATTACACCCCACTCTCTTCTGCTCTAGTCATGGGGTTGAGTTATCATCTTTGTCACATTTCACTGTCATCTTCATTTATCAACAAACCAGTGCAACCCAGTCAACTCCTCTAACACAGCTAACTCCAGACACAAGCTTACAGTCAAAATATTACTGACACTCATGATCACTGTAAGCAAGAGGCAGTGCCACTCAACAGCCAGGCCTTTTTAGTCACCTTCCTGAAGGTATCTTTACCTACTTCCAGCCAGTAAGCTTAACCTGTAAACACTACAACACCACTTTTGGTGTCTTTTGGGTTTGGGGTGGGTTTTTTTTCTGTACATGGTTAACTGTAGCCCAGCAGTTGCAGAAATAATACATTTGTACCAACAAGCCTCTTGCTTCACAGGTCTCACAACCTAACTGCATACAACTTCACTTTAAAATTAGTTCAAGGTTAGACAGACTTTTCCTTGAACCCTGACTTTCCACAACTCCTCTCCTCCTTCAGATCTCCATCCTAGCCAAATGCAGCAATTTTTCAAGAATAAAAACTATCAGGGATCAAACCTGCAGTAGTTCACCACTACTGGAAGGTGGGCAGTGTAAAAACTTAACTATTGAGCTTGCCAGCCAAGCCCCCTTGGCCAGGAAGCTCAGAGCAATTAGAACAGCACCTAGAAAACACATCCTTGTAAGACTAGAGATCTCATCCACAAGGCAGTGTCAAACTACAACTCTGTATGAAGGGTGATAACTCTCAGCCCTCTGTCCACTCCTCATCTATTTTTGCTTCAACTGGTACAGCTATTCCCTGCCCAGACAGGATTTCTGTATCAAGCCTTTACACAGTATGACACTTACTTAAGCATTCAATCAAGCCTACTTTTCCCTAGATGTGCAAGTAGCAGTGCATAAAGCAGCTGTACTGAGTCTCCAAGTTCAAAGCATTCTTGGTTGTTCAAACACCACCACCCCCACCCCACTCCCCCTGAGAGAAGGAGGCAGCAAGCAAAACATCACGTCCTTGAAGAAAAAAGCAACCTTTTTGAG